CCCTCTATGAGGTGGATTGATTCAGTGACTGGGGTAATCGGGAGGGGTGTGTTGGAGGCAGTGCGATTGGCGCAGGATAGAGCAGGGTTTAGGGTTGCTATGAGTCGCAAACATAGCAACAGCAAGGAAAAAAAGTAGGAATTGCAATAGTAACTTATCATATGGGAACTCAAAGACTGTGATCACCTAAGGAAGAATTTTACAGAATTTAGGAGACAGTAGTCTATGCTAACACTTACCTTATACTTAGATACAAAATACTTGTCTGTGGCCCCTGGAGGCTGCTCACAGCTCTTTTCTCATAGGTTGGGGAGGAAATAGATTTTTCACTCCTTTGTACCTTTCAAGTATTTCCTAATCATTATTCTTCACTATCATGTGTCTTTTAATTCTTGTACTCTGCATACTCCTTCTCTGTGTACGCGGGCACTTCAATACATTTTCTGTCTTGAACAGGAAATATAGGAATACCCATTTTCGTACAGAAATAAAATATGAGGTTAGTCCACCTGTGCTTTTTACTAAGCCACGGAAACACTTTCCTAGGTACATGTTCTCTTGGTATTGGTGACTAATGAAGAGGAATTCCTGAAAGGTGTAATCAATTTAATTTTCACTTATCAGCGTTAGGTTTTAAAAATGTGTTTGTCTCAGTGAGGAACATTACTTTTTTGGGTTCACTTCCTGTGTTTTCAGAAAAGTCTTTAAATCTGTAAAGTTTCTTTTTCTTCTATTCATTGTTTAGTATATAGTTATCTATAAGTTTATGTTAAGGATATTAACTTTCCCTCCTTGAAAAATCTGACAGGATTATGGTGTCACACCTGAATATATATGTAAGCGAAATGAGGAAATAAAGAAAGCACAAGAGGAGTATGATAATTATGTCCAGGAAAATCTTAGAAAAGCAGCTATGAAAAGACTATCTGATGAAGAAAGGGAAGCTATTCTACAGGTATGTTTTCTATAATTCATATTTCTTTATTTTCAGGGAACACTGGTGGCACTCTGGCTACAGAATTTGGCTACTATTGCAAAGGTCAGTAGTTCAAACTCACCATGCCCTACAGAGGAGAAAAAATGAAGCATCAGCTTCAGTAAAGATTACAGACCTAGAAACCTCAGGGGGTAGTTCTGTTCAGTTCTACATGGTCGCCCTGAGTCACAATTGACATGCTTCCAGTGGTTTTGAATAACTTTTTGGAACACTTTGAAACAGTATACTCCTTTCATGCTCCCCTTGATTTTAAAGCCAGTGATTTGCTTTTGAAATCAAGGCAATCTCCTTTGGTTCTATTAACAAACTACACTCAACAAATCTGACTCTTTGGGGAAAGGAGAACATTGGATTTAGGGACTTATTGATTAACATTTTACTTCTAATTTGGTGAGATTCTGTTACTTCCTGGAATGTTGTATGGAATACCTCTCCTAAAACAATTGTTTCAAACCCATGTCTAAAGAAATAAAGCATTTTCTTTTCATACTCTTTATATTCATAAAAATATTACCCATAAATTGATTCTTTTTCACTAGGTGGAGCTCTAGAATAATTGAAACTTTCCTTAGGCCAACTTTTATTTTCTTTCTTTGCTTTAACACAATTGTCCAAATTTTAACTAGGTGTTATGTTTCATGTAGATTTTTCTTCTTGTGATTAAATATAGATAAAACATAGTAAATTATGTCTTTTTATTTTTTAAAATGTATTTACTTTTTCATTCATTCATTCATTCTTGTTATGTACCATCAAATCAGATCCAACTGACACAGGAGGAGATTGCCCCTTCTTCACCAGCAGAGCATCTGGTGGATTCAAACCACGTGCCTTCAGGATTGTAGTGTAGCTTCTTTGCCACTAGGCCACAGACTTTTTTTAGTAAATTTTATCTTAAAAGATATTATCATCTGAGATTTAAGAGCTGACTTTTTATCTGAAGCATTTAAAATATTGGAGGATGTAAGTAAGGTTGTTTCTCCATCATGATGTTTACCAAACCCAAGCTTATTGTCATAGAGTGGACCCTTCACTGGGTCTCCCGAGGTTGTAAATCTTTATGAGAAGAGACTGTCTGTCTTTCTCCCATGGAGATACTGATAGATTCAAACCACTGACCTTTCGGTTAGCAGTAAAACTGATAAGCACTTATCAGTCTGTAGTTATATAAACATATCTTTACGGATGTAAAAACAGCATTTTAGCTTTTCTTTTAATACTTTGAAAGTTTTCTACAAAGTCTTCTGAAAAACAGAGTGTAGGTATATCTCTTTACCATATTAATTTCTGTTAAAAATGAATTCCTAAATTCTTTACATTTTATCAGTGTCTTCATAATCATCAATAAATATTAATTAAATGCATATAGTATTGTGGTAAGCCCTAAAGATATTTTTAAAAGGCGTAAGATACAGTTTCTTATATAGAAAACATTGCAATTTAATTAATGAGAAATTAGTGTAGATGTTGTTGGGTACTGGTCAAGGTAATTTCAACTCTTATCAATTCCATGAGACATAGAACGACCCTGAAAGGTTTTCAACCATAATCTTTGCAGGCACAGATTATCAGTTGTTTGTTTCTTGGAGCTCTTGACTGGATTGAATTCACCAGTCCTTAGGTTAGCAGCTGAATACCTAACTGTTGTACCACTAATATATGTGTATATGTATGTAAGCATATATAAGTGTATGTATACATTAATGTGTGCATATGTGTGTGAGTTTTTTAAGTGACCCAAGGCATATGTCAATCACCACTGAAGCATGGAAATCTTTAGGTGGCATTAAAGTGACAGACAGGCAGGGATCCCATACAGCAGTAGTGATCCAAAGTAGTTTCTCTGTTGATGTCTGTATCCCTGGTATCTTACACAGTGCTCAGTGTTAGCATATAGTCTCAATAACAATGTGTTGGAAAGACAAAGGGATGATACAGGCAAGAAAGCCATGGGGTTGGGGATTAGAGGAAGCACTAGCTGGCCAGTGAGGCTCATGTATAACATTCTTAAAAGGAAAGTGAGTCTCAACAGAGATTGAGAATGTTAACACAATGCTCTAACATAATGTACAAGTCTTAGTGACTTAAGATTGTGACTCTTTTTGTTTATTGTAGCTAATTAACTCCGTTCTCTAATTCACTAAGGGAGGTTCTCATTCATATTCTCTCCTGCCTTTTTCTTGTCTCTCCACTTCCTCCCTGCTGCCACCCCTTTGGAGTGTACCATTTTCAGAAAGTATACAATATTTGAAAGCTAGGCTTTTATATATAAATGATGCTGGAAAAGGAAAAGCTTCCCTCAGTTAAAAAATTTTTAAAAAGCTTTCCCCTCATATACCTTCTAGGCTATAGTTGATAACCAGTCCTCAGCTTCCTAATGGGTTCTACAGGATTTCATTGCATACTTTTTAATGCAGTTATAGCAAATCCTCTAGTGGATGCTTCATTGGCTAGAGAGTATAGTTGTCATAGCAACAAAGTCAGTAGCTATACTCCTGACAAGCCCTGAATCATTCTTCACTTTCTGGTGATGAGGTGCAGTTCTATGACAACACATTTGTATGCCCCCAAGCTGATCACATTCTGCTCAATCTTCATGCAATGATTCATTAACCTGGAAGGCATCATCTGGTCTAATGATTCCAAACCCCTTTTTACAGATGAGAATGTAAAATTCAAAGATGTTAAGTGGACCCATTTGGTCATTCACCAAATCCATTAATTTATTGCTTATCTAATATATTCCACACACTGGGCCTGGCCTGGGGGATATTGTAGAGAGCAAAACAGATATGACCTATATTGACAGTGAGTTGAGAGTTTGTTTTAAATTCACTCTTTATCACAAGATGACCAAGTTATGTGTATAGGGACTACAGCTCCCACTAACCAATCACCAGATCATCGTTAACCTCGCTCCTTTATGCTACCTGCATATACTGTAACAACAGGAAGCTGCATCCACCAGAGTTCTAGCAGTGAAGAGAAGACATGCTCAGCTGGGTTTCTGAACAAAATTTGGTAAAGGAACTCTTTAAACAGGAAACAGAATTAAAGGAATCAATAGGGAATGGTAAGACATCTACAGATTAAAAACAATGGGAATCCACCATGACCAACATTTTGAAAGACTGAGAGATGAATAATAGTGTTACCAGAGCCTGGGAGGGCTGAAATTGTAAAGAAATTGAAAAGAGATGCTAGTTAGTTCAGTTCCTTGATTTAATAATGGGAGAAGACTAGTCAATCCATCTCATCCCTCTTGTGCTATCTCTCCATTCTTCCAAGGATGATGTCCTTCTAAAAGAAGTAATCCCTCCTATCCACATGCCCAAAATATTTGAGATGGACATTAAAAATACTTGCTTCCAAGGAGCACCTTGTTTTTTACCTTCTCCAGACAGACCGTTTGTTCTCTGGGCAGTTCATGGTATGTTTAATACTCTTCTCCAGCACCACAACTCAAAGACATTAATTCTTCTGTCATCCTTATTCAGTGTTCAGCTTTCTAATCCCTAACAAGTAATTGGGAAGACCATGGCCTGGATCAGACACACCTTAGTCTCTAGAGTGATATTGGTTCTCATTAGCACTCTGGAGAGGTGCCTGACTGCAGATTGTCCCAACTCAACTCAGCTTTTGATTTCCTGATGCTGGTGCCAAGAGTGTTGATTGTGGAACCAAGGAAGGTGAAATTGTCATGAATCTCAGTCTCTTCTCCACCTATTATGGTGTTGCCAATTTGCCCAGTGGTGAGAATCTTTGTTTTTCTTGTTGTTGAGCATCAATCCATAATTAAGACTGCAGTCCTTGACCTTCTTCAGTGTAATCTATACTGAAGGTTACACTCTTTAAGTTTCATCAGTAAATACTTCAGGTCTTCTTTATTTTCTACAACAATGTTGTGTCATCCACATATCACAGATTGTTTATGACTCTTCCTGCTGCCATATGGCATTGTCATCTTCATTTTGTACAGATTGTCAGATTAGTTAGAAGGTAGCAACAGAAAATTTCCCTTATTTTTATTTCATATTTTTCTTCTATTTTTAAACTGATATTATTAATTTTGAAAACTTTTCAAATAAGAAAAATTAGCTACAAAATAAAATAGGTGTTTTGCACTCCATGTTCCTTTTGCAACCCCTCCCCAAACATTCTTCACCTTGTTGCTCTGCTCTGCATCTTGAAGTGGCAGTTCAGGCATGTTTTAGGCTCTTGTTTGAACAGGTTCCATAACTCCACTCCTGTACCCTTTGACCTCTGACTTCAGCCAATCATGGCACTTGTAAGAGGAGAAAGACATTAGGACATTTCTTCGCCTTTTCCTTTGACCTTGCCTGAATTCAAGTTTTGCTGCATTCCTCTGTGCCAATTAAACATGTCAGGGCACAGGGTGAGGAGGGGGCAGAAAATAAATGAACATTAGTGAGAATGGACAGGTCAAAACCAAATATAAGAATAAAACTGCCTTTGAATTGTGGTGATAGTGAAGAGCATTGTATATACTATAAACTATCAAGAGAACAAGCAGATCTATGTGTGTGGGGGGGGAATGGAGAGAAAAAATGTTCCTTTGAATTGAGGATGCATACTTAGAGCATGTTATCAGGAAAGGTTAGACCTTGGAGAAAGATGTCATATTTGGAAAGTAGGGGATCAATGAGACGGTGTGGCACAGTGGCTGCATCAAGTACAACAGAGATTGAAAGGGTGTTTGGTTGTACATAGAGTTGTTACATGCTGAAGTCATTTCCTTGGCACCTGATAGCAGTAACCTTCTAAACATTAAACTCTTATTTTCTTTGAGACATTTCTCCAAAGGAGTAAAAAGAGAGGCTACAGATAGGGGGAAGATATTTGGCAGCGACATACTTGACAGCAGGCAAATCTCTGAATAACACCAAAAATCAGCTGATTACCTGGAAATACGTTCAGGCAACTAACAAGCACATAAA